TAACTGCCACTGAGGAGAAACTACATGGAAGGTGAAAGGCATTTTCTTCGTATTCTGTTTAGTCTAACCATGTGCATGTATTTTTTTTTTTTTTTTACTCAGAACAGAAATATATTACTTTGTCCATTTATTTTTTTTTATTTTCTGAATTTTTTTTTTTTTTTTTTTTTTTGAGACAGAGTCTCACTCTGTTGCCTGGGCTAGAGTGCTGTGGCATCAGTCTAGCTCACAGCAACCTTCAACTCCTGGGCTCAAATGGTCCTCCTGCCTCAGCCTCCCAAGTAGCTAGGACTACAGGCATGTGCCACCATGCCCAGCTAATTTTTTCTATTAATCATTTACATATATTAATTATTCGCTAAATCACATCTCCCTAACAACCCTGGGAGGTATTATAAATAAGGCAGATAGCTGACCCTCCAGCCTGTTTTCTCAAATGAGGAGGCTGGAATTTATGGCCAGGTATGGTGGTGATGAACTGGGCTTTGAGGCCACGGCTGGGTTCAGAACCACAGTATCCCCTTCCTAGCGAGGTGCCCTTGAGCAAACTCATGTCACCTTCCAATTCAATAGGTGAAATATGGTATCCCCGTTTCTAAGGTTACTAATATGTTTTTTCCTGTGTATATTTTTTATGTGAATTTCTTCTGCATATACTTTACCTTCTTTGGATGGATTATTCACCTTTTTCTGAATCATTTGAGTCCACATCATCTGTTTTACACAAGGAAGCTAAGATTACTATAGTTCCTCATTCATCTTCAGACTATATGACAAAGTACTTATGATTAGCAAAAGTCTTGTAAAAATAGTACATGATTTTAAATATATGTAAACATCCACTGTCAAAATGTTTAAATGCAGACTGATGAGGGTATGTAAAGGCAGGTACTTTCATATTCTACTGACATAAATATAACCTGTGTTATCTTTTTGGAGGGCAGTTCCTAGTATTATTAAATAGAATTGAAAATGTATATACCCTTTGACCTAATTATTTAAATACTTAAAATTTACCCTACAAAATTACTTGCAAAAATATTTTATACATATAAAAAATGTTCACTGTATCACTATTTATAATAGCAAATAACCAGAAATAATCTAAACATCGTAGTAGGGGACTAGAGGACTGGTTAAATATATTATGGAACATTCATAAAAGTGAGTATTTCAGGCCAGGTGCAGTGGCTCACGCCTGTAATCCTAGCACTCTGGCGGGGCCAAGGCAGGAGTATCCTTTGAGGTCAGGAGTTCGAGAACAGCCTGAGCAAGAGCAAGACCCCATCTCTACTAAAAATAGAAAAAATTAGCTGGGCGTGGTGGTGTGTGCCTGTAATCCCAGCTACTCGGGAAGCTGAGGCAGATGTTGCCTGAACCACGAAGTTCGAGTCTGTGAGCTATGATGATGCCATGGTACTCACCTGGGTGACAGAATGAAACTGTCTCCAAAAAATAAAAAATGTGTTGGTATGTGCCAATATGTATATTTTCTTTTGGAAGAAAACACAAGAAACCAGTAACTGCCACTGAGGAGAACACATGGAAGGTGAAAGGCATTTCTTGTATTCTGTTTAGTCTTAACCATGTGCATGTATTTTTTTTTTTTTTTTACTCAGAACCGAAATAATATCTTTGTCCATTATTTATTTTATTTTTTTTTTTTTGAGACCAGATCTCGCTTTGTTCCCGGGCCTAGTGTGAGTGCCCGTGGCGTCAGCATAGCTCACAGCAACCTCAACCTCCTGGCTCGACGATCCTTCTGCTCAGCCTCCCGAGTAGCTGGGATTACAGGCATGCGCCACCATGCCCGGCTAATTTTTAATATATATATCAGTTGGCCCAATTTATTTCTTTCAATTTATAGTAGAGACGGGGTCTCCCCTTGCTCAGGCTGGTTTTGAACTCCTGACCTTGAGCAATCCGCCCGCCCTCGGCTCCCAGAGAGCTAGGATTACAGGCGTGAGCCACCGCGCCCGGCCTGTCCATTTATTTTTAAGGTCAACAGGATAGTTCACCTTAAAAAAAATCTTATTTAGGCCGGGCGCCTGATGGCTCACGCTGTAATCTAAGTCTTGGGAGGCCGAGCGCGGCATTTGCTCAAGTCAGGAAAGTTCAAAACCAGCTGAGCAAGAGCGAGACCCCCCTCTACTATAAATAGGAAAGAAAATTAATTGGCCAACTGATAATATAATAATAAAATTAGCCGGGCATGTGGCGGCATGCCTGTAGTCCCGCTACCAGGAGAGGCTGAGCACAAGGATCAGCTCGAGCCCAGGAGTTAGTTGCTGTGAGCTAGGGCTGACGCCCGGCAACTCCTGCAGCCCTCGGCAACAAAGCGGACCTGTCTCAAAAAAAAAAAAAAAATCTTATTTAAAAAATGAATTCTAAAACCTTAAAGTTACAAAAACTTCTACCTACCTCATCTGCCCCCAGAGATTACATGAGGCAGCGTTTCCAACATTTTGTTAAGGGAAGAAAGTACTGCACTGCAAGGTGGGGGAAGGCCCAGCCCTGTCACACCTGTCAGGCCTGATTCAGCATCCCCTGCTCCATCAGAGAGCAACTTGGAGCGGTGTGCACCTTCAAACACCTGCTTTGCTTTCTTTTGGTACATCAGATGGCATCAAACGGTGACCTTCCTGCCCTCCTCCCCTGCACACCTCTTTGGTGCCGATTCTCTGTGGATAACACATCAGAACAATGAGAGGTGCCGGCCGTTGTAGGCATTATGACGGTGTCCGCACCAAGAGGGAAGGTTTTCAACCAGCTCCTTTAAAACATCAGTCTCAGGTTGAAAGAACCACTTGTAAGAAACGCACGGGCTTTTGGAGCAAGATGACTTGGCCTGAAGTTTTATGATTTTTTAAAAACCTCCAGTTTGAATGACGTAGAGGCACGGACCCTCCAGATGGTCCCTGGAACAAGCCCCAGTTGTAACTGCTGGTCGGGGAAAGGGCCCACTCACCTTGAAGAGCCCATCTCTTGAATTCCCGTGTTTATGAAACCCATACCCAACAGGACAAAGTATCTGGAAGCCTGGTTCATTCATTCAAGGTTTTTATTTTTATTCAACTACAAGCAAACAGCAGAATTAACACAACATTCAGCAACTCCAAACCAGCTTTTCTTACCCAATGAAGAGTGATGGATTTTTCAGACACAGATTTAGGGCCTGCCGATAACCAGTCAGCTAGCAGTGCTGCCTGCCTGGATGGCCACACCTCACAACAGCACAGCCAGTCCCCCTACAGCTTTTTCCAGGACTGCTCTTCCAGGGGCCACAGCAGGACACTCACACCTATTAAGCCATCTGAGATGTGCTGTGTTGAGGATTAGCCTCGATGTCAGCCTCTGGTTGTGACAGAACGTCTCAGAAGATGCTGTCACGCACAATTCTGGACTCAGGATCACAAAGGCAGAAGCAACCGATCCCTTTTATTGTATTTTTTTAGCTTCCCTTAAAGATTCTTTGATGCTTTATTACTGTAGACCTGGTCCTGGTCTTTGTACTTAGATTTTTTCCTTCTTTAAATCTGGGTTGCTGTTCTTAACATTAATTTGATGACCCCATCGTGGTACCAAAATATCTCCCTAAATGAAATTCAAATTTGATCAAAACACAAACCAGGGTGTGCAGCTATCTAGAATTACGAAGGAGAGGCAGTAGGAAAAGTCACCCTGAACCACTATCGGACTGCTCAGTTCTCGCCTGTGCGAAGGGGAGCGGGAGAGAGGGGAGAGCTACATGCAACACTGAACTGGAGAACACTGCTCGGGGCCTCTGGGGCAGCTCACGTCTCCAGGCTTCCCCCTACTTCCCAGACAGCTGCTCGTACAGTTTGGGCACATAGTCATCCCACTCAGCCTGGTAGCACGTGCCGGCCACCGGGGCCCCGAGCTCGTACTTTTTACGGAAAGACGCCACCTTGAATTTGCCACGGTGGTCTCCGGATCGGTTGCTGAGAATGGGCTCGTCACACTTCAGCGGCCTGTCCTGCTCGTAAACCAGCCAGACGTAGCGGTGGAGGCCTGGAGGGAGAGGCAGAAAGGAAGGTGTATACACAGCTGGGCATCTGAGATGGAAACATGACCTGTTTTCATCAAATCTTTCAACATGGAGGGATTCAGACCACCCCATTTACAAGGGCGACACTGAGGGCCCTGAGAGGTAGAAAGAGCCAGGTCGCTGCCTGCTGAAAGTCACCCGATGGCTCCCTGCTGCAAGTCGTGTCACGTCCAAACCCTTCATTCCAGCCTCTAACAACCTGCAGAATCTGGCCTCTGCCCACCCCTGGAGCCAAGAAGCCTCCTTTGGCTCCTCCTTCAGCCCACTCCAGACTCCCTGCCTAGCTCAAGTCGGCCCCCACCAGCCCCACCAGAAAGCCCAACTTGCTCCTGTCTGGTGTGAGGACAGATGAAGGACACAGCGGACCACTGACCCAGTGCCCATCACACCACAGTCAAGCCTGCCCAGGCTAAAAGGGGAGAACATTCTCTTTCTACCCCCAAAATTTACTTCCTTAGAAGACTACAGACCTGCTTTGAAGTGACCCAAACTCACTTTAGCCACTCAGTGGCAAAAAATGTTTTAAACCAGCCAGCAAGCACCCTATTAACTATGCAGTTTTCTACAAGCTTCAATTAAGTACCGGATGCAAATAGGTACTATGAGCTTTTATTTTGGAAAATAGTTATTTTTTATTTTATCTTATTTTTTAGAGACAAAGTCTTGCTCTCTAGCCCAGCCTGAGGTGCAGTAGTGTGATCACAGCTCACTGCAGCCTCAAACTCACGGGCTCAAGCAATCCTCCTGCCTCAGCCCCCCAACTAGGTAGGACTACAGGCACATGCCACCACACCCAACTAACTTTTTGTCCCACTTTTTGTAAAGACAGGATCTTGCTATGTTGCCCAGGCTGATCTCGAACTCCTGTCCCTCAAGCAATCCTCCCAAAATGCTGAGATTACAGGCATGAGCTGCTATACCCAGCCAAAAAAGTTATTTTTTTAGAAGTTGTTTAAATACTTGTACGCGCATGTTCAATGCACAACTATTCACAATAGCCAAGCATTGGAAGGGAATGAAATATCTACCGATGGATGAATGGATCAACAAAATGTGGTTTATATATACAATGGAATATTATTCAGCCTTAAAAAGAAACGAGAGTCTGACGTATGCTACAACAGAGATGAACCCTGAGGACATTATGCTAACTGAAAAAGCAGTCACAAAAAGACAAATACTGTACACTTCCAAGAGGTATCTAAAGTCGTCAAATGCACTGAAACAGAACGCAGGAATGGTGGTTACCAGGGGCTGGGGAGGGAGGGAGGGAGAATGGGGAGCTGTTATTCAATGGGACAGAGTCTGTTTGGGGAAGATGAACAGGTTCTAGAGATCTGTTCACAACAATGTGAATGTACTAACACTACTATTCTGTACACTTTAGTAAAAATGGTTAAGATGGTAAATTGTATGTTTTTACCAAAGTTAAAAGTTATTTTAAAAAGCAAGTTACAAAAGATACAGGAATGATCAAAAAGAACATAAGAGGCCCAAAATCATTAGTCAACAGGGTGATGGACAATAAAACCACAACATGGTACCATTTTACACACTGGAATGTCTATAATCGTAAGACTGACATCATCTAATCCTGACATGGAGCTATGAATCATATACGGATCTACTTTACCTTCTATATTCTGCTGATTAGAGGGTAAAGTTTCCAAACATTCTGGAGAACTCTTGAGCAATTTCTATAAACCCAACAATTCTACTCCGAGGTGTTCACCCAAGAGAAATGGAAACACCCGCCCACAAAATGACAAGAATGTATATGGCAGCATTATTGATAATATCCAAATACTGGAAACAACCCAAATGACCCTAGGCAGGAGGATGGATAAACAAACTGTGGCATGCTCACAAGGAAAAAGGAATGACGACTGATACAATATGTGGATAAATCTCACAGACATTATCTTGAAAGAGACCAGTCACAAAAAAAAAAACAAAAAAAAGCATACTACTTATGAATACAAAAATAGCAGAAGTAATCTATGGAGACAGGAGTCAGAAAACGGTTAGCTCTGGGGGAATTTAAGTAAAAAGGTCACATGAAGGCCAGACGAGGTGGCTCACTCCTGTAATCCTAGCACTCTGGGAGGCCAAGGCAGGAGGATCGCTCAAGGTCAGGAGTTCGAAACCAGCCTGAGCAAGAGCAAGACCCCATCTCTACTAAAAATAGAAAAAAATTGACTAACTAAAAATATATAGAAAAAATTAGCTGGGCATGGTGGCGCACGCCTTTAGTCCTAGCTACTCGGGAGGCTGAGGCAGAAGGATTATTTGAGCCCAGGACTTTGAGTTTGCTATAAGCTAGGTTGACGTCATGGCACTCTAGCCTAGGCAACAGAGTGAGATTCTGTCTCAAAAAAGAAAAAGAAAAAAAGTCACATGAAAACTTTGTGGCTGATCTTTATCTTTCCAATGGTTGGTGCTTAACATGGGTAAATGTATTGATCAAATTTATTGACTGAACCTTTATCATCTGTGCATTTTATTACATGTAAGTTATACCTTAGTAAAAGAATATGGAAGCAAAAAAAAAATGAATTGCTAAGGCTTTTTTTTTAATGAGAACAAAGCTCCTACTTGAGAGAATAGGTTTATTCTCATGTGTACACTTCCCATAATTAAACTGCCTAATTTTATAACTGCCCTGGAGAACTTAACAGATCCCTGAGAAACCTGTTTCTTTACCTTCCTGTTATGAATGCACTGAGGGCTAGAAGCCAAATGAAGCTTCTGAATCTACCGATAAAACAGGAGCCCATGACCAGCCATCCTTGTCAGGGCCCTTCTTGTACCTCTTCGTACCAACTCATGGCTGGACACCGTGTACAAAAGCTAGTATTCTGCCACGCTCCACCTGCTGCTACTGCCTCCTTGTTCCAGCAAATGGAAACATCCTGTAATGCACATAAGCAATTACAACGCATCCCCTACCGCCAGCTTAGGCAGCATTTATCCAACTTGGAGAGTTTCAATACAGTAGTCTCTCTCTTTATGTATCTACATACATTTTACATATATCATATATAACAGGATACAACACAGTCTATCTTCAATATAGTTCTACTAAAACCTTCCAAATCTTTTTAATATGCCAAAGTAGATTTTTTTCTTTTTGGAGACAGTCTCAACTCTGTTGCCTGGGCCAGGGTGCCGTGGCGTCAGCATAGCTCATGGCAATCTCAAACTCCTGGGCTCAAGCAATCCTTCTGCCTCAGCCTCCCAAGTAGCTAGGACTACAGGCATGCACCACCATGCCTGGCTAATTCTTTCTATATATTCTTTTAGTTGGCCAATTAATTTTTTTCTATTTTTAGTAGAGACATGGTCTCGCTTTTGCCCAGGCTGGTTTTGAACTCCTGACCTTGAGTGATCCGCCCAACTCAGCCTCCTAGAGTGCTAGGATTACAGGTGTGAGCCACCGCGCCTGGCCTGATTTTTGGGGAAAGAGGGAGCTATAAAGAGAAATGGAAGGCTATTTTTTCATAATTAATTTGGAAGCTATGATCATTTCTGACACTTTTTACAGGAATTAGAAACTCAAAGATTATGTAGGGCAAAGGCAGGATATAGACCTGATGTGGCTTAACCGTGTTCAACCCATGTGCAGCCCCCCAGAAAGCCATTCTAAGCATTCTGCAGCATCGCTTCCTCCTCATGGACTTCTCTCCTTGCTAAAGGCCTAGGGGCTGAGATGCAATTCTAAGCAGAGGGTCCGTCTGTCCAGAACCCAAGATTCCAGCCACCTGATGCTCCTGCAGGTCTGAATGTGCTCTGGAAGGCAACTGCCCTGGACGTGAGCTGAGCTGCTTTCTATCTCAGAGGTGAGGTAAGGACTCTCATAAATAAAAGAAAAATGCTTTGGGCCAATTCTGACGTGCACCTGAGCTCCCTCCTGCCTCCCACCAAATGCAGGGTTTACTGACCTGTGCCCTTGGGAGGCCCCGAGCCCACGTAATCAGAGAGGACTGTGCCACTGCTGATGTTGTTGCCCTTCATGTTGACCACCAGAAAATGGTGCCATTCCCTGCGTGGAAGAACACGGGACTGTCAGCACTACAGATTAGCATGCATTCACTGCACGGCCAGCAAATGTGTATCAAGCACACACTCGGTGCCAAAACACAGCCATGAACGAGACAGACGGGCACTGGTTTCTTGGTCAGAGCAAAGCTCGTCTGTCTGGAGAAGAGAGAACCCAGCCCCACCTTCCCACTGACATTTTCTAGGGCAGGAGTCAGCAAACTTTCGGCAAAAGGCCAGAGAGTCAATGTTTTAGGCTTTATGGGCCATACTGTCTCTGTTGCAACTACTCAATTCTCCCGTGGCAGCGTGAAAGCAGCCACAGAGGAGACATAAATAAGTCAACGTGGCTGTGTTCCAATATAACTTTATTTGCAGATACTGGAATTTAAATTTCATATAATTTTCCCATGTCACAAAGTATTATTCTTATTTCCATTTTTCCCCAATCATTTAAAAATGTAAAAACCATTCTTAGCTCATGGGGCTGTACAAAAACAGGCCACAGGTGGACCTGGCTCTCAGGTATAGTTTACAGACTCCTGTGCCAGGGGATAAAAAGGGCAGGAAAATGCACATTCTAGCTGAAGCATGGGCGTGGACATCCCAAACCAGGTCCACTTCTCCACATATGGCAAGGGACTTAACCAAGTAAATTATACTTGCACTATGTGCTCTTCTCCACCTTTCCCTAACTCACCTGTATTTGGGATCCTTCCTGCTGGGAGCATCCGGGTCAGTGAGGACCAAGGTGTAGAGTTTATCGGGATCAAGACCATCCCACGTAATGCTGGTGGGTCTGCTCTGAACCTGAAGGAAGGAACCAGTTTGGAACTGAAAGGTCAGAAATGCAGAAGAAACCAACACTCTTTCAATGGTGTCAGTCTCCGACAAGGTAAAACAGAATAGATTATTAATAAAAGTTATCCTGTATAGACGCTATAAGAGTCAGGAGCTGAAGTTTTATATACATTATTTATTTTAGTCCCAACAATATATGGGGCTAGTACCCCAGGAAGTCATTAACAGAAAGATGTGGAGCTAGGATTCCAACCTCTCATTGTCTGGAACTGACAGGGTCTCTGGATTTGGTGACCAGCAGGTTACTTGGGGCCTGCTGAGTGAAAATCTGCATTAACTGGACATTTAAAAATGCACAGAAAACAAGAAAAGCCAAGGTGCTGAGGGGTTGGCAGGAGTTTGGAAACAAACTCTGGAAACATCCAAAGCACCGAACAGTCAGGGAAGTTTATTCACACCGTTGCCAGGACCTCCCTAGCCAACAAGTAGGAGTGGTATCGCGAAATCTACTTTCTCCACTCGGAGTGGCCACAGGCGTGGGCGTCAGAGGCCAACTGGCGGAACAGAGCCGTTGCCCTCAGGCCTCCCAGCTGCACAAGCACTCGCCCTCGGGTGGCCTGACGCCCCTGGCCTCCGAACAAAGGCGAAATCGCCGGGCGATGCCAGTTACATAATGCGTCACGGGGTCTCGGGTGGGGCTTTCAGTCTCCAAAATGAGGCCTAAGATGCCGAGACCCCAGCGGAGGCTGTGGGGGCGTCCGGGCGACCGAATCCCACTCCGGCCCGGGCACGGGCCCCTCCGCAGCCCTGTCCTCGGGGTCCCGGCTGTTTCCGGCCTAGGCCCCTCCCGGGGTCTCCAAGCCCCGCGAAAGTGGGTCGATGTCTCCCGCGAGCCGAGCCAGGCCCGCCACGCCCCAGGCCGGGTTCCCGGGGCTCGGGGAAGCCCCCAGACCTGCGACGTGGGCTCCGCGGGCCCTGCCCTCGGGGGCTGCTGGCAGGTCCCCCGCCACCCGCCCCGTCTCCGCCGGGGCTCCCTGCGCAGGCTTCCCCCCCAGCCTCGGGCCGCCGCCCGGGGGTACCTGGGTGGGTGTCAGCACTTTGCCCAGCTCGTCCACCGCCGACCCGGAGTAGGTGACCTGCAGCGGGTGCCGCGGGCGCTCGTCCACTTCCTGCAGGCTCAGGGACCCGGACCACTTGCTGAGGTCCACCGGCATGGCGAGGCCGAGCGGGCGCGCAGCGGAAGGACGGGCGCTGGGGGCGGCTGCAGCAACAGCAGCAGCAACTGCGTCCCCGAGAGAGTCGCAAACTGACCGGAGGCGGCTCAGGCCCAGCGACCACGCGAGCGCTTGCGCATGCGCACGCGCCGCCGCCCGCCCATCTCCCGGCGCCCTCTGATTGGTCGAGCCGGGCAGCGCGGGGCGCCTGGCTCCCGGGTCAATGCAACCTGCTGCGAGGTGCAGCCGATCGACCGTGCCTCGGTCTGCACACCGTGTTTCAAGGGGTGCAGTTGCACTCCCCACGATTGCTTTTTGGCTTCCTTACCTCTTTGATTCTTTCCTCCGCTTTCTCAATTCAGAAGCCCCAAGGCCTTGCTTTGCTCTTGCACTTAACGCGGGTCCAATGCCCCTCGCGTCCCTGTTTTTTCGCGCGCGCTCACGTGTTGTTTTGGTAATCTGGTGAGAGCGCCTGTGCGAACTTTCTGGCATTTTCTCCGCGGACGAGTATATTTACACATATGTAAGATTCCCCCACCCACTACTTAGTCCTCACAAGATTCCTGAGAAATGACTGTTTTCGGGAGAAAACTGTAATTATTATTCCTAACCAAACTGCTCTCCCTGTGGCCACCAACTGGTTTCTTTTTGCTGAACATAATGAGCATTATTTAATAGTTCTTATCTGATTTGACCCCAGGGAAGCCTTTGGTATTGCTAACTCCTGCAATGGAACAAAAAGTTGTCTGTTTTCAATTCTTGGTAGGAAATAATACAAGTTCATTGTAGAAAATTCAAAGAAAACAACCGAAGGAAGTGAAAATCCCTTCTACTACAGTAGTTAGATATAAACGTCGGTAATAATTTGGGGTATATCTTTCCAGTGGAAAAAATAATATCAATATACATGATTTTGTTCTGTTTATTCACCAAAAAAATTACGTTTTACCCTGCCATTATAAAATACCCGTATCAAAAATAAATCTTCAGGCCGGGCGCTGTGGCTCACGCCTGTAATCCTAGCTCTTGGGAGGCCGAGGCGGGCGGATTGCTCAAGGTCAGGAGTTCAAAACCAGCCTGAGCAAGAGCGAGACCCCCGTCTCTACTATAAATAGAAAGAAATTAATTGGCCAACTGATATATATATAAAAAATTAGCCGGGCATGGTGGCGCATGCCTGTAGTCCCAGCTACCCGGAGGCTGAGACAGGAGGATCGCTGGAGCCCAGGAGTTTGAGGTTGCTGTGAGCCAGGCTGACGCCACGGCACTCACTCTAGCCTGGGCAACAAAGCGAGACTCTGTCTCAAAATAAATAAATAAATAAATAAATAAATCTTCAAAAAAAAAAAAATAAATAAATCTTCAGGCCGGGCGCGGTGGCTCACGCCTGTAATACTAGCACTCTGGGAGGCTGAGGTGGGCAGATTGCTCAAGGTCAGGAGTTCGAAACCAGCCTGAGTGAGACACCCCCCCCCACCAAAAATAGAAATACATTTATTGACCAACTAAAAATATATATACAAAAAATTAGCCGGGCATGGTGGCGCATGCCTGTAGTCCCAGCTACCCGGGAGGCTGAGACAGGAGGATCGCTTGAGCCCAGGAGTTTGAGGTTGCTGTGAGCCAGGCTGACGCCACGGCACTCACTCTAGCCTGGGCAACAAAGCGAGACTCTGTCTCAAAATAAATAAATAAATAAATAAATAAATCTTCAAAAAAAAAAAAATAAATAAATCTTCAATATCTTAATGGCTTGTTCTCCTCTAGGTGCACCATAGTTTATTCAGCAAACCTCTTGATATTGGAGATTTACTGTTTTGGTTTTTTCCCTTTTACAAACCCACTAAAATGAACACCCTTATACATATATCTTGAAACATATGGTGGTCTGAGCGTAGTGGCGCATGCCTGTAGTCCCAGATACTTAGGAGGCTGAGGCAAGAGGATGGCTTGAGCCCAGGAGTTCAAGGTTGCAGTGAGCTGTGATGGCACCACGGTACTCCAGCCCAGCCTTAGACTGGGGCTTTTATTAATTTATTAGGTCAAAGACTATGTACTTTAAGGGGATGAATCACAGCAGGTTAGGTGTCAGAGTGCAGACTGTATGCAATGCCTTCAACCACGGAGAACTGATAGGATTATTGGTTCTTTTGTTTATGAATGCATTTGAGAACCTTGTGAGCAAAAGGAGAAACAATCTCCACCCTCATGGAGCATATAGTCTAGCAGTGGAGAGACAGTAATCAAATGGCATCGAGTAAATTGAAAATTACAGCTGGGTGTGGTGGTAGGTGTCTGTATTCTCAGCTATTCCAAAGAATCACTTGAGCCTAGGAATTTAAAGCTAGCCTGGGCCCACACGGTGGCTCACACTTGTATTCCTAGCATTCTGGGAGGCCGAGGTGGGCAGATCATTTTGAGCTCAGGAATTTGAGACCAGCCTGAACAAGAGTGAAACCCCATCTCTACTAAAAATTGAAAGAAATTAATTGGCCAACTAAAAATATATAGAAAAATTAGCTGGGCATGGTGGCGCATGCCTGTAGTCCCAGCTACTTGGGAGGCTGAGGCAGGAGGATCACTTGAGCCCAAGAGTTTGAGGTTGCTGTGAGCTAGGCTGATGCCACAGCACTCTAGCCCAGGCAACAGAGTGGGCTTTTTTCAAAAAAAAAAAAAGAAGAAATAAAGTTAGCCTGGACAACATAGTGAGAACCCTCTCTTAAAAAAAAAAAAATTACAGAAGCACCAGAGAGAAGACAGGCTCAGGGAACAACCTGAACAGAGTCTGCAGCTAACTCTGCATGTGACTTCAGGAAAGTCACATTCAAGCTTAGGGCAGGGATAGTGCTGTGAGAAGGTAGGTGATGGATGCTAACTCCTTTGGAAAGGTGGAAAGAAATTCCAGATTATTTCTGCTCCTGCTACCATTCTTACCCCTTCTCTGTCCCAACAGGCAGTTGGTCACCAGGCCTACAAATTCAACCTTCTCAATGACCCTCAATGGGTCTGCTTCTCCCCCCTGCAACTGTCCCCTCCCTATGAGGGCACCTGATATCACTCACCTTGACCACTACTTCCTCCCTTTTAGCCCATCCTCCAGATCTTTCTCAGATGTAAATCAGGTGAGTCCACACATTACTCCCTGCCCCCCACTTCACCCTAAAGTCCTCTGTGGCTCCCTGTTGCCTCTGGATGAAGTTCAGACGGTTAACAAGCCCCTGCAGACTCCTTCCACCTCCTCACTGCCTCCCTTTTCACATTATTCTCCTCAAACACTCTCAATTTATTGCAGTTCCAATTTGTCTTTCTACCTCTGGACCTTTGCACATGCTGTTCCCGCATCCTGCAGCATTTTTCCCTCATACCCTCAACGCTCGCCACCTTCACTTTTCTTTTTTTTTTTTTTTTTTTGAGACAGAGTCTCGCTTTGTTGTCCAGGCTAGAGTGAGTGCCATGGCGTCAGCCTCGCTCACAGCAACCTCAAAGTCCTGGGCTCGAGCGATCCTCCTGCCTCAGCCTCCCGAGTAGCTGGGACTACAGGCATGCGCCACCATGCCTGGCTAATTTTTTCTCTATATATCAGTTGGCCAATTAATTTCTTTCTATTTATAGTAGAGACGGGGTCTCGCTCTTGCTCAGGCTGGTTTCGAACTCCTGACCTTGAGCAATCCACCCGCCTCAGCCTCCCAGAGAGCTAGGATTACAGGCATGAGCCACCGCGCCCGGCCAACCTTCACTTTTCTTAAACTTCACTTGCACCTTCTGTCACCCATCAGGCCTGGGGAAAATGCCCTGTTTTCTGCCTCCACAGCCATCCTGTCCTTCCTCTTTCCTAACTTTCAGAACGTTTGGGATTCCTAATTGATCATCCGAACCACACCACCACCCGACTTGAGTATAAACTCCAGGAGGGTCATCTCTCTTCTGCACTGGCCACATTCCCAGCACCTAAAACAGCACCGAACACAGTTGGCATATGATATTATTGTAAGAAAATAAATGAACTTAAACAAAATCATCTGGCTGGTTTCAAGTTCAGGTCACTAAAGCTTCACTTCCTGATAAAATCTCACATTCTGAAAGGGCCATTTGGCCTGTGATTTTGGTTCCCCCTTAATTAGCAGCAGTTGGGAAAATCAGAGCAGCTTTCCTCCAAGTTTCTATTAAACGGCTGTTATTAAATGCTTGTGAGATAACAGATGCCATCCCACAAGCCACGTGTTTAAAAAAGATAATTATTTGTCGGAAGAGATGGCTGCACTTTCAGAGAAAATGCTCAGAAAGAAAGATTTCTAAAGATCGCTCCAAGCTCTGGGACTTGCTCTGGGACTAAGCACAGAAGCCCACTGGAAGTTTAGCAGAGGGGAGCGACACCATGCAGTGCCCGTGGGGTGCAGATGGGCCAAGAAGGCAGAGGTATTCTCTGTTCTCCTTGTCTTACAGATAAGGTGACAGAAGCTCATGGAATGGCTGGGAGTGACCAACACATGGTCTTGATCTCTCCCCTCTTACTGCCTTTCTCTGTCTCTACCAGCTCTGGGCTGCTCTCCCCACTGAGGAGAGTGAGCTGGTGCTTCTCACTCCAAACAAGGGTTGGAGCCAACCAGGCCAAATTTACTGAGTGCCTACTGTGTCCAAGTCAGCGTGCTGCATTGAGGACAGCTACCATTTGCTGGTCGTTAACCACTGCCACGTTCCAGGTCCTGACAATCCCCAACCCTACAAAAGGACATCATGCTCTTACCCCCACCTTAGAGATAAGTAAACTGAGGCTCATTCCAGGTGCCTTCTGAGTCAGGAGAAGGGCAGGGCATCATCTGCCAGCCAGCACAGAGTAGCCAGATGCTCCCACGAATGTCTACAAAAAGCCTGGTCTTGGCCGGGGGTGGTGGCTCACATCTGTAATCCCAGCGCTCTGGAAGGCGGAGACAGGAGGATCACTTAAGGCTAGGAGTTCCAGAGCAGCCTGGGCAATGCAGTGAGATCTCATCTCTTAAAAAAAAAATAAAACAAAAAATTAGCTGGGCGTGGTGGTGTATACCTGTAGTCCCAGCTACTTGGGAAGCTGAAGCAGGAGGATCGTGGTGGTGTACACCTGTAGTCCCAGCTACTTGGGAAGCTGAAGCAGGAGGA